CCCTCTTGCAGGGCACCCCAGAGAGCGCGAGGCGTCGGCCACATCTTCGAGGAGGCCGAGAGGAGGCCAGGTGCGGTCCTTCGGCGCGCTGTCTCCCCGCTCTTCAGTTTTTCGCAGGGCCAGTCCGCGACGTCGCAGGAGGAATTGGAGAGCATTGCCAAGGGAGGAGAAACCACCCAGACCCCGACAAAGGGCGTTTACTAAACGGCCCTGGGCGTTTACTCACAGCCCTGCCCTGTTCGATTTCTTCTTTGGCGCGTTAACTACACGGCTTCGCTTGTCTGGGTGGTTATTTTTGGGGTTGATTTTTTTGCCCTCTACATTGTTGGCTTGATCAGGTCGGAGCAGAGCTTTCTCCGGGCATCTCACGTAGCCAGCGAGGAGCTGAAGGCATCGGGTCCTCGCGTCGCGGCGCCCAGCGGGGTGCGCGGGAGGTGCAGGACGTTATCCCACGTAGTAGCTTGTGGGGAGCTGAAAGCGTCGAGTCCTCGTGTCGCCGTGCCAAGCGGGGTGCGCGGGAGCTGAAGGCATCGGGTCCTCGCGGCGCGGCGCAGACCGCGACGTGCGAGCACCGCGTCTCCCTGGCCGCTCGCGAGCTGCTAGCTGCCGTAGCCGGATGGGCTCGAGGTGCTCGTGGATCGCACCGCGCCCCAGGGCCCTCTGCAGCACTAGTCTACGGTGACTGCAAGTGGTTCTTGCAGACCGAGCTAAAACCATAATACAGTAGAGACCCTTGCCAAGAAACACCCTGCTTGCCTCCAGGGTACCCTGGATTTCTCAGGTTTCGATGCTTGTGCCGTGTAGAGCGTGACGTTCCCACACCGAATATCCATGGACGTCCTGGCGTCTCAGGGTTGGGTTTCTTGTGGAAGGTTTCTTGTGGACTGGCCTCCACTGTACGTCGTCGCGTTTTGATCACGAGCCATTCCATCACGGGCCGCACGCGAACTGCAGTCGGCACTGCGCGGCGATCACCGGACGGGCCGCTCCTCTGGGCGCAGAGCCCGCCGCGCGGAGCGGCCGCGGGGTGCTCCGCCGCTGCAGAGAGGCGCCGCGCGGCTGCTGGGCGCTCTCGCGCGCCTTTCGGGTGCGACGACCTGCGACGCCCAGCCCGTCTTGAGCGCGCTGGTCCTGCGAGTGCACGGCGCGGGACGCCCGCTGCGAGCAAGCTCATCCCACGTCCTCCTCCTCGTCCTGCCCTCGCTCGTGCTGTCCTCCGTCTCCTGTGCCTCCATCCCGCCCTCCTCGTGCTTCTCTCCACCCTCTCTTCGCTTCCCGCCCCCTTCCTCGCTCCCCCTCCGCTCACCTCCTCCGCCGTCGCGTCCCCTTCTCAAGCATCCTCCTCCTCCTCCTCCTCCTCTTCAAGCCTCCCCATCCTGCTCCCCCGTCTTCTCTTCGCTCGAGGAGGCGCCGGATCTGACGGGGGTTACCCTGCATCGAGTTTGCACCCTGGGGATGCGCCCGCCTATTCTGCGGCGTACCAGTGAGCGGGGGACGGTTTGCACGCGCGCGCGCGCGCCTGTGTCTCTGCGTCTGTGTGCGCGTGTTGTTCAATCCGCCCGAACAATCGCCCTCTGCCCAGCCGCCGACGCAAAAAAGTGCGCGTGTTGGCCGCGCCGGACCGTGTCCGGCGCCGCAGACAACAACTATGTGCAAGTATGTGTGCGTGTCGGGTGCCCACAGGCAGTATTTGCCTGTTTTGCACGTGTTCGTCGGAGCGCTCGCGTACGTACGCGCGAACCTGCATGCATTCGTCTGTTTGCATGTGCCAGTGCAGGCGAGCGTGCGCCTTTCAAAGCCCGTCTGTGTGTTTGAGCAAGCTGTGGGATGGAACTAATGTTGCTTGTGAGGGGCTTGACGAACATGTCAAATGCATTCCATGATGGTTGTTTGGCCAATCCTGACAGGCGCAGCGCTGCTCTGATGCCGCCGAAGCAGGCGACATCGATCGATTTCAGCCATCTTGGCGACAAGAAACTCGAGAAGGGCAAGAAGGCGACATTAGACCAGGCTGAAACGTGGAAGGGCCCGAATCACAAGGACACGTCAGCGATGATCAAGAGGATGAGGATCAGTATTATGATGAAAATGAGTAGGGCGAGGATTAGCAGTACGTGTAGCACTCCGTATCAGTTGCCTGTTCAATTCAGGAGGTCTCCAGAGGTTTTCGGGGATCCCTGGGGCTACCCTAGGGGTCCCAGGGCGCCGAGGAGGACACATGCTGCTAGTATGGTAGCTTCGCGTCGCGTCGACCGGCGGCGACCCCGCCGCCGGCGCTCAACGCGGAACGCCGCTGGCGATTCAGAATCGGTCGATGTTGAACGATCCGGCGTGACGGAAATTGCGGATCGTTCAAGGTGGAATCCCGCAGTGTCAGAAGCCAATGCCGAAGCCGGCACGACATGAAACCGCGCTATGTCCTCGTGCGTCCCATACGGCGGGGTCTCCCAGGTCACTCCGGCTCGGCTCTCTCGGAGAGAGGCACCGCAGAAAATCACGACGTCGAAGGTCTAACTTCTTATTGTCTGACCGCCAGACGTGTCGGTAGAATGGGTCGGACGTTTCCCTTGAGACCTCCCCGATTATTACCCGGGATCTGGAATTCGTCAGTAGCTAAACAAATCGAGAGGCTGTGGCTTCTAAAATGTGTCTCTCGCCTTGGCGCCGCGTACATTCATCGTCAAAGCTTCCAACAGTCAAACGGATGGAGTGGTCGCTTTTAAAATATGGCTCTCGCCTCAGTGCAGCACGCATTCGTGTTAAAGATACACGCATGTAGGGCGGTTCTTTTTCAAGCACCCAACTTTGATGTTGTACGTGCCAGTTCGTACGGTCGGGAGTCTGAACTTGTGCAACAGCTACACAGATGATGGGTGGCAGTGTCCTACCTCGGGGCACTCGCTCAGTACAGTCGGGGCCCTGAAGAAGGAACCCTTTTCGTTGGGGAGGGGCTCCGCGTTCCTTACGTGTTTCACAGCTTGCCTCAGGCTTCCCTTAGGTTTTCGACAGGACATCGAAGCTCAACTTATGGGAAAGAGGGGCCTCGTTCCTCTTATTTAGGGTTCCTTAGGTCAACGCCCCGACTGTATGTCCTGAGGCTCTACGGCCATATGGGCCATACGTCTCGCCCTGGAGGCCACTGGCATGGACCGACGGCGGCCCCTCCGCAAGCCGGGCCTCCCGCGGGGCACTGCCGGGGCCCTGTGACGGAGAGCCCCGCCGTC